GATAAGTTGCCTTCGGGCTCCAACCTCTTTCAAAACCTCTTGGTTGCTCTTTTTGGCTGTCCAAGATATTCTAAGCATTCTTCTGTAAAACCACATCTCTGAGGCCTCAAGAAATTGTTTGGCCTGCCTACCGATTGTCCAGGATTCACAGCCATATGTTAAAACTGAATGTATGTAGCAAGCAAGAATTCTTTTTCTAACTCTCAATGACGAGGATATATTGCACAAGATGCCTTCATTTTATAAAATGCAGTTTTTGCCTGTCCTATTCTGTATCTTATCTCAGTTATGCATCTTCCATCTGATGTTATCCATGTGCACAGATACTTAAATTTCTGTACTTGTCTTAAAATAATACTATCGACTTTTATTACATATTATTTTATTATTATATAAAAATATAAATATATATATCTATAAATATATATAAATATAATTTTTATTATTATTTATGCCAAGCCTTTAACATTGCTGTCAAATTTGCAATGTGGCTAGCTTCACTGCCTAAATATAGCATATACAAAAGTTGCGTAATTGTTAGAATACAAATAGCAGCTAATACACACAGTAAATGAAATCGTTCAGTCCAGAAGTGCTTGGATTTCTTCACTATATCCTTCTGCATATAAAGACTGATCACTCCAGTTTTCTGATGGTTTACTGTTTTACATTTTGAGTTTTTAAGTTTTGCTTTCAAATGTTTGTTGTGATAGATTCACATAATATATACATATGTAGTTTAATTATTACCTTTTCATTAGTTTACAGATCATTCTCACTGTAATTGGAACCATTCAGCCTGTAGCTTCTTGGATAATTCTTTACTATATCCCTCAAGATGAATCCATCGATTACACCAATTCTATACGAGTTTATTTTTCTTTTACTCTGCTGAGTTTCAGGGTCTCAGTAGAAAACCTTATCTCCTACATTATTTCTGTAAAAATTCTTATGTATTAATTGTCCTGAGATTAAGACATTTGTATGATTTCAGTTTATTACCTGACTATTGTGCTTCCTAATTCCAAGGTGTTGTGTTCAATACTGGTTGCGGGAGATTTGACAGCAGACCACCCTGTGTTGGTTTTGACAATGGTATCAAGCACTAACCATTCAAAAAGCACAGGCAAACTTCTGAATGTAAAATTACCTTGCCATATCACAAAAATTTAAAAAAATGCTGGGTTGGTTTTGCAACATCCTGTAAAGAATACACAACTAAATTTTTAGTCTGGCTATATAATGCGTTGTTTTTATAGGGTCTAGAGATTTTATTGAAATATTCTTTCCATTTACCAGGCAGTTTTATGAAAATGATGCTGACCTTTCCAGCATTCCTCATGGTAATATTCTGCACAGCTCCAACAGTGCCTTCTTTGATGATTTAGAAAACAGTCACTCACAGATGCGTATGACTCACAGGAATGGTAGAAGTCATAGCAGCAGTAGTAGTAGTAGTATGTTTGAAGAGAAAGGCCAAGAAATGAGTCATTTCAAAGAAAATAATAATGGGATATCTTCCACTAGTAATGAGCATGTTGGTCGCTACCGCGGACCTTCTACCAGTTCTCAACATGCTGACCGCTACCGCGGACCTTCCACCAGTTCTCAACATGCTGACCGCTACCGTGGACCTCCCACCAATACTGAACAGGTTGATCGTTATCATGGGACTTACGATGATCATGCAGAGTTCCCTAGGCGTTCCACTAGTCCGAAACACTTTGATTACTACCATGGGCCTTCTGCCACTGTTGAACATTTGGATCCTTCCTTAAAGGCTGCTGAAGCCCAGAATTTTTCAAAGGACATGTTTAAAAACAATTTTAACAAGACCGAATCTCAGAAAGGGAAGACTGTTTTCTCGGATGAGTCTGTCCAACTTAAGATTGTAAGCAGTAACAATAACAGCAAGAAAAATGTTCCGAGCAGTCATGAGCGTGCCTTTCATAGACACCAAGATGAAAGATCAAACACTCCTGTTTCTCAGAAAGGTAGCAAGCCTGCATATAACAGAAATAATTCAAATAGCAGAAACGTTGAAACCAAAGAGGCATTTCCTAGAACACAAGCTGTGCCGGTGAGTTCAAACCAACAAACCCGAGTGAAAGACATAGTACCACCAATGAAAACACGGGGCGAAGAAACTGTGGCAAATAAGAGAAACCAAGATTTTCAGAGCAAACAAAAAGAAGACAAAATAACACCAGTCGCAGTAGAAAAAAGTGAGAAACTATCAGCTGTGGAACTAACACTGGCTGTCAAGTCATCAGGACAGGTAAGATAACCTAATTGTGTTGTTTCTTTCGAACTATCTAGTTGACAAATACATTTAAACTATCCAATTGACACTTTAGAAAAGTCCTTTTTGAAATTTGAACCAATGGACTCTTTTCTTCTTCTTCTTTTTCTACTTCTCGTGTTCAGCATTTAAACTTCAGTGAAAAGTCCTGGTCATTTATCTTCTTCTTCTTCTTCTTGTTCACCGGCTGTGAATTCCGGCGGTAAGTCACGGTTGTTCGTCCAAAATGGACTTTTGGCTTTTACCCTGACCTGAGTTTTGCGTGTATATCCGTTTTACTGGCTTATTTGTTTGCAGTACTCGTTCCCCGCCTCTCCGGCAGATGTACTCCGACTTCGGAGGAAGACGTCAAGCCTATTTCTAGGTTGACTGTGGCCATTGTTTTGTGTGGGTCGAGATGTTGCCTTATTTGTGTGGTGTCCTCTTTGACTTTTAACAAGTGTGGCCCCCGGCATGTCGTCCTTAAGGCAGCTCCATGTAGAGTTTTCAGCCCTCAAGGGAAGGCAGGGGCAGATCATGGGCATTCCCTGCCATCCAAGGAGGCTTCCATAAATGCAGAGCCGACACATGATGCTCTGGGTCTGGGCTCACCCAAGGAATCGTCACGTCCTGCCTATGACTGCTTAACCTCACAACCGTGTATTGAGCTTCCCGCGCTACAAGGCTGCGCTCTCCGGAGATCAGCGGGGAGCAGCCCGCAGGTCTAGGACGTTTGTAGCCACACAAATAGGTACATTCTTTTTCATCTTACGTTAGACACCTTTAACGTTGTTTCAGCTGTGCCCTTAGCACGACAGAATGGGGAAGCAAAATGCGTCAGGCGTGGCTTCACCTGTTTGGTCCCAACACTCGGGCGAGTTGGACCAGCGGATACGGACATTCAGACTTTTCCTAATCGGTACGAGTTATGATCGTCGGACTTTGAGCTTGCATGTGTGCCGTAACTTTGTCGGACATTGTTTTCAAGCCAGCATATGAATATGTTTTCCAGCATATGAATAGTTGCTGCCATGGTCTACCTCAGCGTGGTGACGACGACACTGAGGATTGACAGAGGATGTACGTAGGTGGGATCTTGCTGCGAGAAGTCACCCACAAGAGATGTTACTCGTCTTGGCTGTGGGTAAATCTCTCGGTAAGGGTTGAGTCTCAGCAGCACAGTTTTCCATTCGCTCCCGAATTTTAACCAAGAGTTGTCATTTGATGGTACATTTAGCAAGCAGTCCTTGAGTTTTGTTACTTTTCACCCATGCGTTTGGGGGCGGGCTGGTGAGAGCCAGAAAGGACTCTACACCTCTAGGGGCCGCCAGCTCCGAGATCCCCTGCCAACTCTGTTAATGCTCATTTGAGACATTATCCGTGGCGCACGACGGGGACGTGCAACAGGAGTCTTGCATGAGGTTCCGTAAAACCAGAACAGTGAAGGACTGGCACCCGAGTGGGGTACGGAATATCTCCTTATACACATCACATCAGACTTAACTTCCCCTCATGCCTGTGACCGAAATCACCGCGCCACGTCATTTATCTATTTCTGGACTTTTTGTTCCAGGACTTGAGATATGCATGCACATTACACATATGGCTTATTTGTGTTCAGACTATTGCTTTTCAGGCAGATGCACTCTGACCAAGCATAGTTCAGCAACTCTGCATCCTGTATACTCTTTTGAACTCTCTAGTAGTTACGCTTACGCATTGTGTTAACCATATCTGTTCTGTCCCATGCTGTTGTCTATATTAACTCCTTTTATTTTTAATTTTTAGCAACAAACTTACTTGAAGTAACACATTCCTTTAAATAGATGAAATAACCCTTTTGGCACGTAAATGCTAAAAAATGGGCCATGACCCCTAGGAATTCCCAGAAAAAAAAATCCTTTACAAAACGCATTCATTTTATACAAGGTCACTAATAAATTTTAAACAAATTTTGTTTCCCAAAATATATAAAAATTTCTTCTTCTTCTTTGGGTTTGGTTTCGTATCAGATCAGACCATCAGGTAGATTGCCTCTATGAACTCGCATGTCAACAGCAGGCCCTTCATGGTTCCCAATCACTCAGCTCCTTCACTATATCAGTTTACCATAACACATGCAGTCATCCCTATAGTAGTTGTAGGGTGCGCAATCTGTTGTGCAGTATTTATTTTTAACACTGGATACATAGAAACAGTGTTAACCTCACATTATCTTCTTCGATTAAAAAAAATTTGCATGGAAAACTCAAGTTCTGGAACAAAACTAAAGTCCAGAAGTGGGCAAACAACCAGAACTTTCCGTCAAGAGTTCCTGCTTGGTGAATGCTAAGAAGATGAAGAAAACAATCAGCAGATAGAAAAAGTAGGAAAGGGTGCTTGTAGCGTTGTCCAGCCTGGAAAATGAGTGACTTACCTTGCCATTCATGCCTCGTCGTGTCTCAGGGCCTGTCCTATGTTGCGCTGGTGTCACACTTACTGACCGGCCAACAACACATAATAATTTACTTGTCAGCGGTCGGTGATATCACCTGTTCTATATTCCACGATGTTAGCGCTTTTAACAGTCCCAAAAACATCTATAGTTCATTCAACATCTCATGAACACACTTGCAAGCCATTTTCCCATTAGATCGCAACGATTATTTTCATCCAGCCTTAGAATATCCATGACCTTGAGAAAATATATTTCACCAAAGAGGAGTATCATATGTAGTTTTTTTTTTCCATCTTTACGATGTATATTTTTATCATGAAAGTGTCTTGGTAGACTTTTGGAAGGTTTACCTCAATTAGTTTCTGGAAGTAGTGCACACTATGACTGGTTTAACAGTGATTCAAAGAAAAACTGTAATTGCTTGATTTTCTCGCTCAAAGTTGCACTCTAAGTGCCCTGACGCCAAAATAAGGTAACGGTCAAGGTTGTTTATTCAAAGGTGCATCTACAAATGAGTTCTTTTTCATATCGCTAGCATATAAAAGCTGACATTGACATCAGTTTCAAAATGAATTTGAGATGCAAATTAATGACTATGCAGAAGGTTACCGTTTTACTGTACCAGCATTTCCTCAAGGAATCCAAGATGGGTCATTTATGTTGTGATATTCGTGACCCAGAGAAACTAACACTATTGGTGCTTGGTCTTGGATAGAGCATCATTTAACCGTTGGATTAGACAGGACACGGAGGACGCTCATGTCAAGCAAATGAAGGAAAAGGACAGTTGACGACTTAGATGTAGATGTCATTAGACGTGAGATCTTAAAAAAGCTGGATACAGATCAACTTGTTGCTCTCTAAAAACCGAAATTAACATTGAAATCACAATGCAATATTGACACTTCAAAAAGTAGTCTGTAGACAATTGTGAGAGCTACTGGGTTCACTTTCATGAAAACTATGTAAAGGAATATTTTTTTGTGAAAATACACATTTTTTTGCTAGTGGAAGCAAGTATCTGAGGCGGATCCGTGACCGACGGATACAAGACTATTATGTTGAATGTTTGGATGAATCCTGGGTTAATGCTCACCATACCTATGCTAAAAAATGGCAGTCTGTAAATGGTGAACAGTAAAGGAACATTCCAAGCAGCAAAGGCCAGCGCATTATACTCACTTATGTAGGATACAGTGAAAAAGGCCTTATCCATGATGCTGGAATATTTTTCTGATCAAAAAGTACGGATGGTAGGGAATGAACACTGAAATGAATGGACACATTTTCAGGCACTAGATGGAGAATGATCTTCTCCCAATTCTGGACAGCAAAAATCTGCATACAAATAAGCCAGATCTGTGTTTGATTAGATTAGAGTCCAGAAGTGAATGAACAGCCAGAACTTTTCGCTAAAGTTTACCTTCTTCTTCTTGTGTTCGCTTTCTGATTTACACCGACAGACAGGTTCCTGTGATAAACTTGACTGTTTTAATGAGTTCATTTTTAGTCCCATACAACTTTGTGTACAGTGGTGACTCACTGGGCCAGTATTCCTTTCTTAATGGGCTGAACAAGGGACAGTCTTGCAGGACATGTTCTGTAGTCTGCACACACAGCCCACAAGGGCAAAAAGGTGAACTACTCAGACGAAGCCTGTGCATATGCTGGTTAAGTTTGTTATGTCCTGTCCTGAGACGTAGGACAATGACCTGCCCATGCCGGTCAAGTAAGTGGTAGTCATCTCTGGCCAGACTCTGTTCACTTCTGATAGCCTGGATGGCCCTTTTCTTCTCATAGTATGTTACTGCATTCTCTTCTTGGTCACATTCTGCCCCTTTTTTAGCAAGTTTATCTGCGGTTTCGTTTCCTGGTATACCACAGTGGGATGGCACCCACTGGAGTACAGTACACTTTTGGGCAGCCATCTTGCCAAGTTTAGATCTCAAGTGAGGGAGTTTGCCACTCTTGAGGGCTTGAAGCACTGAAAGCGCATCTGTGAATATAACCACTTGGTGGCAGTCAGAACTGGTGTGGTGTAACATTTCGGCAGCCTGCTCTAGTGCTACAATCTCTGCTGTGTAGTTGGAACAGAATTTACCAGTGGGTATCCACTTTGTGTGGCGGTGGTTGCCTGGGTATGTAATAAAGACTCCAGCACCCCCATTTTTAACCGCGCTGGTTGCTGATCCATCTGTGTAAATATGTATCCATGACTGTTCGGGATAGTTTTCATGAATCATGCTAAGAGCAGCTGTTCGTTTTTGAAGATCATTGGACTCATCTCCAGTTGTGAATCCATTGACTGAAGTCATTATCTGTATTGTATCACTGACTTGCTCCCAAGGTACAGGGTATAGGGTAGGTTTCAGCGGTGTTGTTCTAATAGGTAGATCAGCTTGATACTGTCTTCTAAGTCTTTTCCCCCGATGGACAAAGCTGCTACGTTTGAGACGCCCTAATGCCAGATCATCTAACCTTTTATTCATTGGGTGTGACTGCATACTATTAAACTTCTCCATCTGGATCATAGTTTTAGTGTCTCTTCTATAGGACAATGTCTGCATTGCAGTTATTTTCTGCATCTTCAGGATTGGTGCAGTTTTCATGGATCCTGTGATGAGTCTAAGAGCTTGATTTTGCACTCTGTCTAACGATTGTAGGTGGGAATTAGCAGCTGTTGACCATGCTGTTGCACCAAACTCCAAGTGGGGTCTTATCGCTCCATTATAAACTTTCTTTAGGGTTTTTCCATTTGCTCCCCATCCTGTACCTGCCAATTTTCTAAGTAGGCCTAGTCGTCTCCTGGCCTTCCCTTCTACATTTTCTATATGTTTGCTCCATGTGAGCCTTTTATCAAAAAAGTTTACCTTAAACATGAAGAAGGAGGAGATATTATGTAAAGTTGCATTTTCATATATATGGTACTTATCACAATATATGTCCTCTTTAAGTGTTATCTGACCTACTTTGAGAGTCCATACAAGTTTTGGATATCGCTTGAGGAATACTTGGATGTCTTCACAGAGAATTCAAGGATAATGGAAAAGGTGAGGTTCACAATGTCTACATTATTACAGTTTTAGAGAAATGGGTCGCAGAAGTGTTAACTGTAATTGTCACACATGAAGGATTCTGGTACATTGAAAAATGTAACTTATGTTCTAACAGTTCATATGGGTGGGCCACGAGGGCACTCTAGAGATGAAGAAGTAAGAGTGTACACAGAATGCCCAGATAGTTTACAAATTGAACTATCTATACCAGCATCTTCCTATTCCTTCATCTACATCACTGGTCTCCAGCCTGGGGGGTCGGGAGGAGCTTTCAAAGCAGGGGTCAGGCAGTTTTGAAATTGAGTGCAATGGTATTTGTAATAATCCGTCATATTTATAAAGCTAAAAGCTCAGGACAGTTTGTGATTTCGTAAGCAGTTTATATACCTACAGTTAAAAATCTAACTAATATGATAGCACAGACGTTTAATTTTAGTTCTTGTCATAGGCTCGGTTGGGGGGGGGGGGGGGGGGGGGGGAGGGTCTTGCAATATACTCTGAGGGTGTGTCATTACCATATACTCAAGGAGCTTGGGACTCTTGGGACCACTGATCTACTCTGATGGCATGTTCTTTCCTAAATAGACTGCTCAGCATATGTCATAGAGTGATGTTTCTTACTAATGCAAAGCCAAGTATAAAAACATTTGTTTACCCAAAGACAGTTTGTAGACTCTTCATAACAGCTGATTTACATAGGCTGGGAGATGATTATGGTTGTCATATTTAGACACAAATAATTGAAACTATGTTATACTAATTGTCTTTCTATGTGCTGTGTTGTGCTTCACCCTTTCAGTCCCAGACAGTTGCTACTCCAGTACTTTTCTACCCCAAAGAATGTGCACTTATAAATAACAGCGTTAAAGTCAGGTGACGGTTCAGTACAACTGTATGACAGAACTTTAAGTAGCAACTGGGATACAAAAGACTGAAGTAACAGAAGAATAGAACAGAACGGAAGAAATGTATACCACATACAGAGAAACTAATCAGCATATCGGGAGTTGCTTGGTACCGAAGGAGTTAAAGAGCTTTTAGAAATGGACTACTATGGGTGGAAAGGATTCATTTCCTCTTTTACTGCTTAAGATGTTGGTGGAAACATTGCATTCTTCTTCTTGGTCCCCTCAACCTTAGACATATCATACAGTTGTAAAGTATCTCTTTTGTTTTCTTTCCAACTTGTCCTTGGTCTGCCTCATGCTCTAGAACACTCTCCTCTTTTAGTGTATATCTTGTATGATATGGCGTCCTATGTGATTATCTTTTAAGTGGGCATTCCCTTGCATTTTGCTGTCTTTGTAGGATTTAATATTGGTTCTGTGCCAACTTTTCTCTTATGAATTTATTCTGCATGTGCTCTCTTCTGATCATTCCTGCAACCTTTCGCAAACATCAGATTTCTATGATCACTGATTTTCTTTTCTGATTTGTTGTGAGTAACCATGCCTGCCTCTGGCAGCATATGGTGGAGATAAATATGCATTGTGTTTGTTTGTGCAGATTGAAACTGTGTTATGCTGTAAGAGGGTTTGGGTGCGCCGGCTGTCCCAATACTTGGTTCACTTTAATGTATCAGATGTTAATATTGTTGTTCCCAGATGTTAAAATGCACGAAAGGATCAATTTATTTTATTATATTGTTGGAATATATGTTAACTAGTTTGAAAACAAAATTTTGTAAATACTTTATAGGCAATTTCAGAAAATGGCACAACTCCAGCTGTAATTAAAGTTGGCGAGACATACGGTGTCATGTTCATGGCAGAGTGGTGCCGCGTGACAGTGACATCTGTAAAAGGCAAAGAAATAACCGTCTTCTTTGTTGACTTTGGTAATCAGGCAACTGTGAAACAGGAGGACTTGAGACTTCTAACTGTTGAGATGTTACAGCTGCCAGCTCAGGTTTGTTTAAGGTAGTCTTGATTATCCATGAAAATTAAACTGGGCTTGTCTTTTGAAAAACTTTTCTTGTTACTGTTAACATAAGCAGTTCTCAGTTTGAAATTACAAGGAAAAGAGCTGTATAAATTGTTACAAACCTGCTGCCAATAAAGGTAGACAGAGAACTGTCTTAAAAAATATAAAAGATACTAGTCACCTATTACAAGTTTCAGAAATGTTTAAAATAAGCAGATATTCCTCAGTGGCTAGTGTGCTGAAATTAGTCTTTTGAAAACTGCCATTTATTGCTTTTATCTCCAAAAAGTTTAACCCCTTTCACCACACGAATTAAAAAAAATGGGTCTTGGTCCCCTGGAAAACAGTCCTCAAGAACAATTTTTATGCAGGTCAGTGGTAATTGTTGAAATTTTTGTTAAAATCGATGTTAAAATAAAAATTAAAAATTCTGACATAAAAGGAGTAATCAGTAAACATAAACTGAGTAAAGTAAAATGGAATACAATTCCCGTTAACTAATAAATACCATGTATCGGATTACTCATGCTGTGAGCTCTTGACCTCTGTCACGGCAGCCTACATGAAAATTTAAACGTTTGGTTTAAAAATGAAAAAAGGACCCCCCCCCCCCCTCCTCCTTCTTTTTTCTGAAATATTTTAGAGTACTGAACTCATACCCTGGCCTATTAAAGCATGGGTGCACATAGAGCCAATAGAATTTAACTACACTTTTTGCTTTGAAAACATGCCATGCCTGTAGACAGGCTGATATGTAGGCATTTACAGGACTGTCGAAAGTGAGGACATTTCATTTTCCCAAGGTGAGTCTCATAGCAAAGATTTGTAGAGAATGAGAAACAGTTTCATGGCAATTACTTGGGAATTATTTTTGAATATGAGAAACATGGCAGAGTCTTTTGTAGCTATAGAATCTTCACATGTACATAGTCCCAGCATAATAAAGGTTAAAGTCGAGAGGATCGACTTCACTGCACCAAGTTTTTATCCCATGTGGCTCAGTCTCTCTCATCAGAACAGCTAGCCGCCTGTCTGAGAGCATCGCACAGAGCACAAACTCCATAGCTCCGGTGACAAATCCCAGAGATCTCCGTAACAATTGCACTCATGAGGCAAACAGCTTGACCAATTTGCCACGTAGAAAGCATAATGTAGTGGGAGAACCAGTTTCCTTCCATGATGCCTTGGCTCCATTTCCTTAGAAATCTCTAGGATCCACTTTACTTGAATGGGTCGACAATGATGACAAGTACACTGTCTCCTAGACCAGGGCTATTCAAACTAAGTTTGCTCGCGGGCCAAAATGCTGAACATGGAGACCGTCGCGGGCCAGTGGCCCGAGTCCACACTATAATTGACAACATTTTCAATCTGTAGATTTAATACATGAAAACTATTACACCTAGGACGTAGCCTATATAAATGTAGCAGTGTTGTAAACCATTATAATGTAAAGTGTACTACAATCTTCTGTAATAATTAATTAATACTCACTTTTAATTCTTCTTTTTCTTCGTATTTACCGGCTGTAAACTCCTAGCGGAAAGTACTGGTTGTAGATTTACTTCTGGACTCTAGTCCCGTTCTAGAAACTGAGTGTTGCGTACAGATCCGTTTTACACGTCTTACTCATTTGCATGCAGACTAGGTTCCTTGGCTCTCAGGCAGATATACTCAGACTTTAAAGAAAGCTCTTAATTAGTCGACTCTTGCGACATTCTTTTGGGTAGGCAGTGGGTCTATTCTCGTTTCCCAACAATAGGGCACCAGAACCCACACGGGGATCACTTTTAATTGAAATACACCTATTTCCAACTTGTCGTTGGGATCATAAATAAACGTTACCATTGTCACAATAATAATAATAACTGTCCACAGTTGGTTTCATGTTCTGCAGAAGAAACTGAAAGGTATTACGATGCAAAATGTAATTAATGGGAAATGCTGCATTTCCGTTTTTGAGCTAATTTTGCCAAATTTGGCTAGTGAGAAGTTAGAGCAATTCTCATGCAGTCTTGCAGCCTATCGTTGCTCAGTGAGCTTCGGCTGTTTGTCGTGATGACATTCATGTGTGAGAAGCTTGATTCACATGGTGAGTATGAATACAGAAAGTTTTCTAGCATTAGGGAACTGCTCCTGTTGAATCCTCTCGTTCCAAAACTTGACTGTACCACTTTCTTAAAAATCTTCATTCACTGCGCTGGAACTTTGCATATCCACAAGTTCTAACTGCAGAGAACCTTCATCAACAGAGGATATAAACTTCTTAGCACTTTAACAAAAATCACACGCAGGAGGGATTTTAAAAGGATCCTGAACAAATAACATTACATTGTTTGGGATATTGAAGTCGTCAAATCTGTTGTTTAAATTATTCTAAAGCTTTTTTAGAATATTTATATCATCGATCGGTTAAGGTTGCCAAGTCCAGTGTTGAAGAAATAAAATGGCAAGCATACTGGTTTCGAATTAGGCAGAGTTAGTGATATAAAAAAATATTTCAGTGTCCAGTCACTGCTGAATGCAAGTTTTTCACATTCCCACTTACTAGTGCTAGCCATGGCATCAAGTTTTAAACTAAATGATGTAAAGTAGATAATTTAAAACACTGTTACTGAATCAGTTTGTTAATGTACAATTGCGTCCGACAATCTACGTATGACTATGACTGTGAATGTGACTGAACGTTCTTCTGGACGTTATAATCTGATAACAAGTTATTCTGCCGTGTCCAGTGTCTGATGTTCTGCTGCATCCAATGGCATTAGTTTGTGGTGCCCATTAAGAAGAGATTCTCTGCAATCTAAGCTCTAACTGTCAGGACCGTGTTGGTATTTCCCTACGCCGCCTGTCCAATAAATATCTCACCTTCATTGAATGTCCAGTGCAGCGGTGGCCTTTCCGCTTGTTACTTGGTACTTTCCAGCCTATCTTATTACCCTTGGCTTCAAAAAGGCGAGTTTTGTTATTTGAGCGAACTGGGAATGAACTTTTACCCTGATCAAATTACTTTTTCTGTTCCTATGCCGGTTCCCTTGTATCTTCGTATTTACAGATTCCTGACAAACACTTCCAATTAACACATTTGACACGACTGATTTTTGGGGAATATACAGAAACATTAAGTGATTTAATTTTTGTTCTTTTCAATAACTACATTTCGCTATTTTGGCAACGATTGGCAGGCCACTTGCTAGGCCTCGGCGGGCCAGATTTGGCCCGCGGGCCGCCAGTTGAATAGCCCTGTCCTAGACCTATGACCAATGCGACTTATGACCGTCCACACCTACAGCCACATAAAATACGTAAATGAAAATAGTAAATAGACAATGATAACTACACTGGTAAGGTTAAAAAGTTACAGAAACTGACACAGTAGAGCAGAAATTATGTATTTTTTCCTGTTAATGTACAATAATTATACATCCATGGATTGAATTTTTGTGTGTTATGCAGCATTTTAAAAAACCCTTTGAATGAACTTAGTGTTGAGAAATATAAATAACCTTTGACTAGTTTCACTTACAACCTGTTAGTCAGAATGGAAGTCATTTGTAAGATAAGGAAATCCTGTATGTTAATTATTTTGCTTTTAAAATTTTTTAATCATTGCTAATGGATATATGCCCTTCATTTTTAACTTTTCTTGTGTGTTTGCCCCTAAAAGGACTGTTTGTAAATTGTGATATGGTTTACAGCTAGGCTGCGACATCTGCAAAATCTGGCCCGAAAACATACAGGGATTATTTGACTTGACAGTAGAATTGTGTAAATGTGACAAACATGCTGCAGAGGATGACATTTAATATTTGTGTCTTTCCAGATACTAACCTTTGATGGTTTTTCTTGTTTTTAAACATTGCAGGCTGTGTGTTGTTGCATCAGCAAGTTAAAACCAAAAGGTTGCGATTCTTGGAGCGAGGCAGCATCATTAGCTGCCCAGCAATGGCTGGGAGCACCGCTGAGTAAATTTCTGCAGTTTGAAGTTGTTGCAAAAAGAGGTTCTGTTCATGCCGTGAATATCTCTTACAAAAAAGGTCAGATTGTTTTTTAAAAATGTTGCTTAAAAATCAAAGCTGAAGGTTGTTCTGTGCTATGTTGTTTCTTCTTCTTCGCATTAATTTCTGGACATTACTCTTGTTCCAGAATTCAAGTTTTGCTTGTATATTCTTTTGACAGATCTGGCTTATTTGTTGGTAATCTTGGTAATCTTAGTTTCAGCTTTATAGCAAACGAGTCACCCCATAGTTGTTCCGCTCCTGTGCCAACGAAAAACACACAGAATGTTCGTCGCAGTCCCTTGTGGAATGATTGACAGACTGATACTGCTGTCTCAGCATATGCACTAGCATACACACGCATTAAAAGTATACAATAGCCATCAGTAATGCTAACACAAACAGTTTGACATTAGAAATGCAGTTCATCATCGATGGTAGCAGAAGTCGCCAACAGATCAGCAGTTGCGCATGTGATCAATATTAATCACATAAGGGCAACACCAATATTGCAGGGCCAGGGTATGCGCCATTTTCTGAATCTACAGTTCACAACACCATGTTGGTGTCAGTCGAAAATTATTCTAAATGAAATCCGCAGCTTACAGGGTCGCGCCATGCACTCAATTCAGTAGCTGGCGCGACAAAACTATCCTTTTCGTCTACAAATGGATAAGATAAAAAATGCAACGGCCACCGCCCGGCAGATGCAAAAATTTTGCCTCAGCGCGAATCAGTAACCGGGCCTGGCGTCTGTTTTGACCGTAAGTACTGGCTTTTTTGTATCCTGACCGTTGGTTCCTAGCCTCTCAGGCAGGTGCAAAAAATTTGCCTCAGCGCGAATCAGTAACCGGGCCTGGCGTCTGTTTTGGCCGTAAGTACTGGCTTTTTTGTATCCTGACTGTTGGTTTCCAGCCTCTCAGAGGCAGATGCACTCTGACTTCAAATGAAATTGTTAGGGGAGCATTGGGTCTATAAGACCAGTCGGCACATGCCTGGTGATGTGGTCAGCATTATGCCGGCCGCCTGTACTTCCCACGATGCCGACCACATCACCCACCAAGTGTCGATTGGTCTTTAAAATATAGATCTAACCCTTTATGTATAGTAGACATGAAGGTGTGAAAAGGGGTTCTTTACTTCGTTTTACTTTTTTCATTTAGCCCTGTGGGTCCCATAGCAATGCATTTTAGTTATATTGTGATCAGGTTTTCTGAGTGTATTTCCCATCCAGTGTTTAGGTTTGTCCTCACCTCTTGATTCACTGGAATTTGTTTAGTTCCCTCTCAGAGCTCTGAATTTGTGATTCTATTATATCACTTAATTCCTTCTGTTCTGATAGGCACCAGCTGTGATGTTTATTTAGCTACTTATTTCATACATTTTGTGAAGCACCACCCTCTTTTTTTGGTTACATAAAAATCACAGAATGCTACTGCTGTTATTTCAGAAACAATGAGCGGTGTACTTCTGGCTGGAGGCTTTGGTGAGAAAGTTGACACAGAGCCTGGACTGCCTAGTTTAACCAGCAGTACTGCAAGGTACCAGTGAGAACTGTTTGTGGGATGGGGTTGGGTTTCAGTTTCTTATGTAAGTAAGGTCACAGATAAAAGAAAGACAAAAACTGCCCTAACAAAAGAACTGAATTGGAGTACGCCACAAGGCAGATAAAGAAGACGATGGAGGGATGTGCAGGTAGACCTACAAAGATTTAGAGTCACCAGTTGGAGAAAGGGAGATTCACAGAGTGATGGAGATCTCTGCAGGAGTGAACCTCAGGTGCTCAGAAAACTGAGAAGTAAACTAATGGACTCCTTTTTGATGCAATGAAGATGCTAGTCTTGTATTTCTAGACAATCAGCATTGGATGGATGGTCTGGTCATTATTGTGTTGGCTGTCTTTAACTCTTAAAAAAAATACTGGTTTCCACTGTAAGCTATGTTGATCTAAGCGGGCCAGTGAAAAAATCACAATCATTTTAACCACTGGACTAACAGGCAGCAACACCACTAGAACTACCAGTTTTTTCTCCCCAAGCATTGGGTTAGATCTGCTAACAGTTATTAAAAAAAAGGGGGGGGGGGGGGGAGAGAAAACATTGCCATACCTAACCCCACCTGGTCCATATATCCTCTGCTGAATCCCTGCTTGGTTATAGTAGAGTAATAAAAGGACCCTTTTTATGCACTTTTCATATAATGCTGAACTCATTTTTTTTTATAGACTAGTTGGCTTTACTTCCCATGACATTACCCTATACTCATAGATGTCACTGTCCTGCCAGTTGGCTTTACTTCCCATGACATTACCCTATACTCATTTTAGGCTGGATTGACCTGGAAGCCAAGGTCAGTGTTGAAAAAACCTGCTACAGTGTGGGCTGACAAATGAGCATCTAACTGCATGATTATATCAGAATGTATCTCTCATCTGATGTGAATTTCGAGGACCAGTCTTGCAAACCAAGCTGTTTTCTGAGCTTGTAGAGAACTCTGCTACAGCTGCCTTTTTGTGCTACAGCTGCCCTTTTGATGATACATCAGCATTGTATTCGGAGAAAACTCTATAATGTGAGCCCCACGAGGGGGTGTGGGAGGATAAACCCATTGACCCCCTCCCCAAACACATGTCAGTAATTAAAAGTGTTTTCTTTGAAGTCGGAGTGCACGTGCCTGCTTATGCGAGGAACTGCATATAAAAAAAAATCCAGATCTGTAAAATAGATACATATGAAATACTCAAGTTCTAGAACACGACCAAAGTCAACAAGTGGCCGTAACAACTAGGAGTTTACAAGTGGTGAACATTAGTAGGAGAGGGAGATGTGAATTTGGCATTATGCTTGGAGAAAACTCTGCACGAATAAAACTGATAATGGCAAGCTGTTTTTGGATGATCTGAACACAAGAACTTTGGACTTAATAGAGTTAAAACTGAGTCTCTCAAAAGATGAATAACTAGACAAGCAGTATTTCACATTTTATGTTCATCTACCAAAACACTCATGCCATTAGTTTGGTCATATAAGCATAAAGTTATTTGCTTATCCTTTGGAGGATACTGCACAGTCATAGCATCTGTTGGCTATGTTTTGATTTTACTGGAGACTTTTACGTTCAACAATAGGTGGCCACTGTTTGAACAGCTTGATGCTCATGCTGTGGTCAGAATCAGTGCAAAGCAATCTGCTGTCAGATTGTCTGCAGCTAAATTCAAACCCCAATATATCGAAATTAAGAAACTGCATTCATCCATCTCCTAAGCCACAGAGGTTGACTTTGAGGATGAACGTTGTTATAGTTAACTCCTAATTGTGCACCTGAAGTGAGCAAAACTGTCCTTCAGATGTAGATAACATTTAGTTAATTCATTAGTTAAACTAGTGCAGTGGTCTAGATTCTTGCCTAATAACTCACAGGTATGTGGTTTGGATCCACATATCTGCAGATTTCACCTGGCCCAAAATGGGTTGTCCTGTCAATTGCTAATTTGTCTATAAAAAGTATGTCTAGCACCTTATGCCTGATGCACCCAATAAAAATGTCTTTTAATTTTCTAAAAATTCAAACAAATGATGCAGACTTTTGGGTATCATTTTTTTTAAGTATCCTAAAGTGTGAAAGTGGTGTATTTCGTCATTTTGTTTTGTTGCAGGATTATGGCAGCTTCTTTAAAGAGTAGGATAGATGGAATGAAAAATGGCTTACAGATTACCGGAGAATTTACAGACTTCACCTCATCGGACAGATTTATTGTTGTAGATCTGGCAGCTGCGGAGTTGATGGCTGAACTTACCTCAACACTTCAGGCAGAATATAAGAACAGCACTGTCCCTTACAGGTATCTGTTTCAAGAACAGTTTATGTTAATAGGCCTTATCCCAACATATAATTTGTAAGTGCCTGGTACTTTATGGTAAAGGCCATGTTTTCTCTTTCTCCTGACTAAACTGCTTCTATTCTGCTATATGGCAATGAGTATTGAAATATGAACTTATTTGGAAGAGCTTAGAGGCAGCAGAGATGTCTCCCCCCCCCCCCCCCCCCCCCCCCCACGATTTATTTTGCAAATATCTTGGACAGCCAGTGTAACCAACAAGGCTTGTCTAGTAAAAGCTAAAAATAATAATAATAATTGAACATTATAGGCAACTATAAGACGGATAAACTGTGTTCTCAAGAAGTGAGATGCAAAGAGAGGCATTGGAAAATGTTGAGATGATGGGAAAGATCAAATTTTGCAGGGGCAGACCAAGAGACATAATCCTAGATGGCCTAAGACAATGGCATGGACTGTTTCTTTTCATAAATTTTAGGAGAGACATGTACACACGTGCCGTCTGACAAGTCAGAATCGCCCAATATCCCTATCCCCAGATTTTTTTTATATACAGAGAACTGTTGTGTGGGGAGGGGAGGAAGAGAAGATAGAGAGCAATTAAATTTAGTATAATTTTTAGAAAAATTCTGCGGTAAGGAATGGAGAACGTGTGGCGGCAGAGCTCTGAGGGTAGTAATGTCAATTTTTGGTTCATTCAGTGAAAAAAAAAGTGTTAAGTGGTTTGAGAAAATTCTCACAACCAGCACACATTTAAACTTTTTTGATTGAAAAAAAATTGATCTTTTGGTTAAGTTTAATCATTAACATTTACAAACATGGGTTTAAGGAGCCCTCTGTGGACAAATGTTAAAAACATGTAAAAACAAGCCTTTATATTAGCCATAAGAAGAGGCAGGAGATAAGTAATTCATTAGTCTTTAGCTTGCGCTGACAGATTCTTGCAGTACTGTAAATGTCATAATAATCTTTTTGGAACACTAGTTGACATTTAAAAGAAAAACATTAAGTTAATAAACATACTGAGTCCTCTAGAAGTACTGGGGAGTTTTGGGAAATGTCATTCTGGTCTCAAGACTCAGCGAAGGTAAAACCCCAACTGCACCTCTACACAGAAGAGGATGGTAAACTCATTCCAGTGTGGCCAACACAGCTGTGGGGACCGGGTATCCACTGGAATAAGTGAACACCTTTGGGGTGCTGTCTGCTGCTAGTAGGAGCATCACAGAGCAGGAAATTTACTTGCACTGGCAATCTAAAAGGTTGCTGAAGGCTGAGGATGTAGTCTAAAGCCATGTGGATGTGGAAAGTAAGGGGAAACTGCCACATTACTATAAAAAAAGAAGGCAAAACAACCCCCAGGCCAGCCAGATCACAATACAGACTGCGAAAGAGAATGATTACAGCAAGTAAGGGTAGTTGTGATGACAGTCGTAAGCTCAATGGTACTACAGTTTAGAAGAGACGTTAGAAAGGGTAGAAAAAACAGACATCGTTATCATCATGGGGGATTTTAATGCAAATATTGGTGTAGGTAGAACAGAGGAAGAGGAAATAGTCAGAGGCCCATTTAGTATAGGAGATAGAAATGAGAGAGGGGAGAGACTGATCAAATTTCATATAGAAAAAAGTATGTCTATTACCAGCACACTAATTAAGCAACACAGAAGAAGGCTGTAGGCCTGGACTCTGGAGATGGAAATAGCAAGAACTAAATTGATTATATTTTACTACAGCAAAAATAGAGGACATGTATAATGTCTGCAAAGACACTCCTTGGAGCTGACTGACACAAATCATAAACTTCTTGTTACAGGTTCAAAATAAAATTGTAAAAAAAAAAGTGTTGAATGGGGCAAAGCCAGTACAGTCTTGTGACAGTTATGAACCGCTCATAATTGGTGGCAGCCCTATTCCAGAACATCGCTACGCAGATGACACAGTCCTCTTTTCAAACACTGTAGAGGGAATAGAACATTTAATCATGTCTGCCCAAAAGCACAGTGAAGATTAAAACCTATTCTTAAATTTTAAGAAAATTAAAATAATGTCCACAGACCAGGCAAGACTGGCTGTCACCCAAAAAGTAACAATAAATGATGAAGAAATTGAAAATGTCACAAATTTTGAATATCCATGCTCTATAATATATAGTAGTCAGCTCTGACTAAGTCGATGCAAATGCTCCGTAATGCCGGGCTGCCGGGTTCGATCCCAGCTGTGGGCCATGCACCTTGCATTGGTTTCGACAGTGGTATCAAGAAGGCCGACCGTACAGAAAGCAATGGCAAACTACTGGACGTAAATTTTCCTAGAAAAACTACACAACAACCAGGGGCTGTTGGGGTTGGTTCTGCAACGTCCTGTAAAGTATACGCAACTAGCCTTATAATAAAAAGCAGTGGTGACTGAAATCAAAAGGAGGATGGCCATAGCAATGCAAAGATTAATCAGCATTAAAAAAAGGTTAAGCACCAGCAAGGAAATCAAAAATAAAATTTTGAGATCATGCGTCATCTTTGTAGTAACATACGGATGTTAGTCGTGGACTATCTCCCAGTCCTTAAAAAAAAAGAAAATAGGGACTTTTGAGCCGAAATGCTATGGAAAGATTCTCAGAATACCATGGACAAAGAAGAGGACAAATGCTGATATTTTAACAGTTTATTTTTCTTGATGTTCTTTCAGACCAGTTCAAGGTGAGCTTGTAGCTGCACAGTTTTCAGCTGATGGGAGCTGGTACAGAGCTGAAGTAACCAACATTGATGGGGACAGTTGTACTTTGTACTTTGTGGATTATGGGAACTCTGAGGTGCAGAAGGTGGAGAACATTAGACAGCTGACTAATAAGTTCCTTATTGAAACTCCAAAACAGGCTCTTGTATGTAGCCTGTCTACTGCACAGCCTTTGTCCAGATATGAATCCAAGATTGTTGACGAGGTATGCTTTTGTTATTTGAAGGTACTCAGTTCTAGTTTCAGATTGTATATATTTACTCAGAATAAAGTAACTAATTATTCTCAATATTCTTTTAACACCTACCCCTCTCATCCCCCTGTCCTTTTTTATTATCTTTTTTTTTCTTCTGTCTTTTATTTACTCATGGCCAACACCTGCTTCACAGAATAGACATCAGTTAGAACATTATTTTCTTGTTTACTCACTGTTGGACGACATTGCTGTAAAACAATTTGGGCTTACACTGTACACAGCGCAAGGATGGTTTGCTCCCAGCTATGGGTGATTTAGCAGCAGACCGCCTTGCGGGTTTCAACAGTGGTATTGGGAGCTGACCGTTCATAAAGCAGTAGCAAACTACGAAACGTACAGATTGCCAAGTGAAGTCACAAAAAGCTTTAAAATGCTGGGGTTGGTTCTACAACATACTGTGAAAGGACATACATCTAACTTTTAACTTACTTTACTTAGAAAAGTTAATTTAATCCTTTACTCATTCACTGCTCATTATTAAGAAGAAGTTAATGGCATTCTTTATTTATTCATTACTAAGAAAAAGTTAATTTTATCCTTTGTTTATACATTCATTACTAAGGAAACGCTAATGTAATCCTTACTAGGATAAAGTTAATATAATCCTGTTAATCTTTTTATTTTTAGGAATTCAGAAAGCTTTTAGGTTCAGCTTTGAGCATTGAAGGAAATGTCTCTATGCTAGTCAAAGGCAAAACAAATGAGGCTCTTTTAGTAGATATCTTAAATCAGTCTGAGCAATCCTTATCTGATCAGCTTATTGATAAACTTTCTGAGTTATCTATTCAGACGCAAAATACGCATTCCGAGGTTGGAAAAAATGAATCACAGACGAACAAACTGCCCTCTACTCCTTCGAAAGTTGTTTTGGAAAAAATGGCCACATTGTCAGAGCTAGGAAAAGAGACTCTTGCAATGGAAATTGGGGCAACTGTCAGTGTTGTCGTATCTTCTTGTGAAAGCTCAGCAGAATTTTATGTGCGGCTGAACAACAAATGCGGATTGTTCATTGACATGATGAAGAAGCTGGACAAGTCTATTGCATCATCACCGAGACTCACTGCTCCCTCAGTAGGCAGCCTGGCAGCAGTCCTGTTCAGTGAACACCACATCTGGTGCAGGGGTGTTGTCGAGAGCATTGAGGGCAGCAAGTGTTCAGTTCGTTTTATTGACTATGGAAACTCCGAAGAAAAATTACTATCAGCCTTGAAAGTGCTGCCATCTTCGGTGTGTGATTTGCCTGCTCAAGCCATAAGGTGCCGTTTGGAAGGGAGGCTGCAGACGTCCCCTGTGTTTGATCAGAAATTCAAAGATGTTATGAAGCAGAGTGCTGTAGATGTGAAAGTTTGTGAAAATGACTCTGGAGGTTTTTCCGTTCACGTTTTCCAAGATGGCGTTGACATTGGTGCAGCTCTACTTGATTCTTGCAGCCAGGTAAATACTGTACTGTCAGATTGTGTTTGTTTTTACTTATTTCTTTTGACATGTAATCTTTTTTTTTTTTTTAGAAACAGAAATACTTGTCTTGAACTCAGTAATCATAAAAAAATAAACAAGAATAAAAGCTGAAGTCTGTGTGTGTACGCTATCTCCGGCATAATTGTTGTGTGTATATATCCCTGCCTGCCTGTACACACACACAGGATATGTATTCACACACAAATGTACACATATAGATACATCTATACACAAAGTCATGTGTGTGTATACATATGCATGCATGTTCACACATTCTACAGCAGTAAGCAAATAAAGGTTTAAAAAAAAAACGTTCGCACCATACACAGTTAATTTTTTTTGTGTAAGTTGAAAAAGAGGGGGGGGGGGGGGGGGGGGGCTGTCAGTCTTGTTACTTACAATTCATATTGCAGTAATTTTTGAAGTAGAGCAGGTAAGTGACCCTTTTCCATGCACTTCGGCTCATTGCATATACAGTGTCAGACCTATATTTCATAGATAATCGGCACTCTGTGGTTAGTGGGGTCAGAATCATGCCTGCCACCGTTACTTCATATTATTTTACCTGAGGCGAGCTAGGAGCCAAAGTTATATTTTGGAAAAGGATCCACCTTGATGTGGATTTGACTCACAGCCTCTGAGTCCACAGGTGAACATGTAGCCACTACAACACACAGCACCCCCATTCCGGCCTCCGAGTTGTTATTTAATTGTAACTAAAACAACTGTTAGGCTGTGAGATGCTAATATTTAAGCTTATGACCTGTTTAAAATATCTAAGTAGCCTATATTTTGGCCTCATGGCTTTAACCAGTCTCAGCAATGCCTTTTTACTAGCATTGGTATTGTTTGCACCTACGCAGCCTTAAGAAATGCTAGATATGATTATGTTTATTAAAAATAGCAATTTTTTTTAGACATCCTATACATTTTTCTTTAATAGCAGGGACTGATAAATCATTTAGTTCTCTTTTGTTTGTTTTTATTGATTACACTCACACACATTCCTACACGCACACTCTGCCTGACTCACTTTCATACAGCTTTACATTCTTTCTTACTTCATCTCTTATTGATTCATACAAACTGTATGCACATTTATCTTCAGCCTACTGTGGAGCCAGTTTCTGCAGTCAAAAATCCAACCACTGTCTTGGTCATTCCCATGGAAACATTGCCAGCTACCGGTGAGCCAGTGGCAGCCGTGGTAACTCATATTGATTCCTTCTCCAAGCTGTTCATTACCTGCAAGGATGTCACTGAAGTGATGATCCAGTTGTTCAGGTCTGCAGACTCTTTGCCAGTCTTGAGCAATCCAGCTGTCGGCGCAGCCTGTGCAGCTCAGTACAGCCAGGACAGTACCTGGTACAGGGCTCGTATTGTTGGGATTAAAAGTCCCAAAACCTGCATTGTCCAGTTTTTGGACTATGGCAATTCAGAGGAGACTTCAATGTCAAATCTACGAGAGCTTGGTCCAGATTTGAGTAAACTTCCTGGCCAGGCCATTTGTTGTTGTCTGTTTGGATATGAACCAGAATCTGGTTCACAGAGACCAATGTCTGATGCCACAGAAATGATAAACAAACTGCGGCTTGAATTGCTGGAAAAAACGGTCACTGTCAGAGTTGTGGACAGAAAATCTGACACCTGGATTGTGAAACTGGAGAATGAACACGGTGAATGCATTAACACAAAATATCAGGTACGCTTAAATGCATTTTTGTTGGAAGGGGGGGGGGGGGCATGAATAATTTAGTTTATAGCAGTTTAATCAGTACTTTATAATGTACAAATTAGTTAAGAGGAGTAAAATAGTAACATCACAGCATGTTAAAACAAATCATGGTATCAGATCTCATGGCTGTGACTGACTACAATGATATCAAATTCTGTGCGTTTCCGACATAAGTTCTGGGGCCCCATTTTGGGGGTGGGGAGAGGGGGGATAATAGACCCACTGCCTCTTACCAAGCAAGGCAACTAATTAAGGGTTTGCTGAAAGCAGCAGACATCACTACCTAGCTGTCAGCCACAACACTACACGTTTTACAACTTAACACCAGTATTTTAGTAACCGTAATGGCAAAATGGTTGTTTACCAATATGGAAGGAACTCTTTCAACACAAAGAAAATACAAACAAACATTTATCATATTTTGTTGTATTTTTGCACAAAATTGAACCGAGAACACATTTGAAGAAAAAAAATGGGGTTTACTTTGTCTGAAATCATCATCATGTGGCTTAGATTGTTGCAAAAAAGGCAGCTGAAAAATCCTTTATATTTGTCAAAGTCATAGCCATCAAACTGTTCAGTAGTGTCTTCAAATTCACTTTTTGAAGCAAAATCAAGAAAATCACATGCATTATCAGAAACACTAGGAGAAATATGACCACCACAACAATGGTTTCGAGAATTTGAAAATTGCGTCAATGTCTCACCGACATGGGAGTTAAGAAAATTGGTCAAATATTAGCTACAAAGTTATTTCCTCTAATTAATCATACAGAAGTGAATAAGCTAATGGCTTCAACTAAATTCATCATAAAAATCACAATTTTAACATACGGCGAGCTTCCAAAGCTACAATCGCAAGGGGTGAGACCTTGGCAGCAAGAAGTAAAAAGATGCCTCGTCACATAATGTGCGACGCTGGTAGTCAGTTGGTTATAATTTGGCCAGAGGTGACTAAAACTTACTTGACGGGCATGGGCGGGTCATCATTCCATGACTCAGCGGAGGCACTAACAAATTTAACAAGCATATGCACAGGCTTCATCTAAGTAGCTCACCATTATGCCCACGTGAGCTGTCTGTGCGAACTGTAGAACATGTCTGTGCAAATTGTAGAACATGACACTTCAGAAATGTCTCTAGTCTAGCCCTTTAGGAGAGGAATGTTGGCATAGTGAGTTAACACCATACACACATTTGCATGGAACTAAATTGGAACTCTTAAAAAAAAAAGTCACTTTTATTACAAGAAACGGTATGTCCAGTGTAAATCAGACATTGATCACAAAAAGAATAAGAATAATATGGGTAACAATGTTGAGAGTGTTTTCAAAACTGTCAGAAGCTGAGAATTTGTAGATAGGAAGCGGTTCTTCCCACCTCTTGAAATAAGCAAGCTTCTATCTAGTAAAGTATAAACAGAATTGTAGTGCTACGTAATGTTGCAGTCACTCAATTTGTCAGCCTTTTCCTTCTGCGGTAACCCTTAAAGGAGCAGTAGGCTCGCTATGTTGTGGTTTACACCTAGGCTGCGATATCTGCACCCTTTGGCCCAACACATCCAAATGCAGCAAATTCCTAATTGGTCCCCTTTACAACGTGCAGGCAAATGTGATAGCCACTGCTGTGATGACTTCATTCAACTCTTTAAGTACCAAAAGGCCATGGGTGATGCCAGAGTGAGCCAAAAATGGCAGCAGTAAAATCAGAAACATACCTGCATTCACAGAATCTAAATGCATATCTCTTGTAGGAGATGGATGTGTAGTTGAAGTGTTATAATATGCACTGACTATGGGGCCTCGTTAGCGTAGTCGATAGGAGACTCACTTTCAAATCCAGCTGGGGTTCACCCAGCCTCTAGGAAATGTATACCAGAGTTAACACTCTGGGGTAAATGGAGGAACGTCGCTGTAGCTATGGAGTTGCATGCGGACGGCGACACGGGTGGACAGTTTCTCATCAGCTGTCCGTACTGGTGGCAGAGCACTTATAGTTTATAATCGTGTGCAATGAGGCTGGTTCACATCTCGCGACTTTACCTTTACCTTTTTTATATGCACTGACTAAAGTGTATAAACATAATGATAACATTGACTAGTGTACAAGAGTAATATCCAGCCAAGCCTTTACTGATTTAAAAAAATGTATAACCGAACTCTGATCCTCTTTGAATCATATCAAAAGTGAGATGATTATCTTTAAACTTTCATAATGATGCCACTGTATTCATCTGCACTGGGATGTCAGGTGATTAACACTCTTGACATCCTTAACAACAATATTGACAGGTTACAAGACAATGGCATATTTATTATAATTTGTGTCACACTTGTACGGTTTTTATTCAAAGCTCTCTCTCGTAAATTAGTTGCATAACCTTTACAAGATGTTGCACACCAATCCCAGGATTTATTGGCCGTTTGTGGTATTACTGGGCAGTTTTCATGTTCTGTAGTTTGACGTTGTTTTGTGAATGGTCGATGCTCCATCCCATTGTAGAAATTATTGCAAAATAGTCTGCTGCCAAATCGCATGCAGCTAAATGAAGCTGGGTATTTTGGAATTACAAACCTCGCAACCCGTAAGACACAGAGGTCAATTAATTACTTGAATAAAATCTGGTTGCTAATGGATGTAAATTACATGATATCTAGTTACACAGTGTCTTGAATAGTTTTTTTTTTTATAGTGAGTCATACTTGTGAAGTAAGTAACAGTGTATGAAATGTTATTTATCCAACATTTAGCCAGCATCGTCTGCAATTACAAGCACCCCCAAGTTATCAGATATAACCTTTGAGCATCCACCAGACACAGAGTTTGAAGCTGTCATCATACACATCAATAGCCTCAGTGATTTCTACTGTCAGATGTATGATGCAGAAAGTAAGTCACTTTCCCACCCTATAACACTGACATGCCTTCTGTTTAGTTTTGCAGCCAGTGTACTTGTAGTAATGTCAGTGTTTTGTCGAACTAGATAAGGATTTTTGTAGACGCTAATTTTCTTCACTTCCTAGGATATTATCTGGCACCAGTTTTAAACTGGGTCGGCCAACCTGGGAACCAAGGTTATTTCTCTCTCTCTCTCTCTCTCTCTCTCTCTCTCTCTCTCTCTCTCTCTCTCTCTCTCTCTCTCTCTCTCTCTCTCTCTCTCTCTCTCTCTCTCTCTCTCTCTCTCTCTCTCTCTCTCTCTCTCTCTCTCTCTCTCTCTCTCTCTCTCTTTCTCTCTCTCTCTCCCCCCCCCCCCCACCCCCCCCAAAAACTCTCTCCCTCCCTCCCTCTCTCAATCTCTCTCTCTCTCCCTCTCTCCCCCCTCTCTCCCCCCCCCTCTCTCTCTCTCCCTCTCTCTCTCTCCCCCCTCTCTCTCTCCCCCCCCCCCCCCCCCTCTCTCTCTCTCCCTCCCTCCATAAAGAACAGTTTCTAGTTTGTTTTATTTGTCTTTAACATTATAATCATAGATTATCATAAAATGAATTACTTTGGTCAAATTATTAGCCTGCTAATACGTATAATTTCAACAGACAGTTCTTTTGAGTTAGCCTTGTTTGGTTATTCTTTGATTGTTCAGTTAACCTCTACAAGTTTTTTTTTTTTTTTTAAACATTTAATCTTGTCTAGTCTTGAATTTGACTTGAAAACACAACTTTTCTACGTTGTATTTGGTATAGCCTGAAAAGGGGATTTAGTAAAATGTTAATAGTTATCATGCTTTGTTGGCGTCTGGCTGGGGAGTCATCTATGGCTTAGAAGCTTTGAACTTTCAACTCTCAAATACTTACTTTAATTCAGCTGCACCTGATCTGTCAGCAGACTGTTCTGATTTCAACAATGGTATCAGCATCAACTGTTTAGGAAGCACTGCCAACTAACATAAAAATGTCATAGTAGAACCACAAACAGCCAGTAAATGCTGTTGTTGGTTTATTCCTACTATGCTTATGTTAATTGTAAATAGTAATAGTCTGCCGAAAACTCATGAGAAAAGGAACTAGTCACCCAGCCTCAGATTATCTGCTAGTATTTGAAGACCTTTCATGCTCACCTTTATCATATAAGCAGCACAGAGGCAAATGCATTTCTGATGGCATGTTTTTTCCCTGAATGCACAGCAAATATAGCAGTGGTCTTTTTGACTGATGCTATGTGAGTTCTGCAAGCAATTGTAAACCCAAAAGACAGTTTGTAGACTTGAACAGTTTATAAAATAACACTTGCTTGTCTTCTCATGAGGCATAGGTTCTGTTTGAGCCCTGTGAGAATGGCCAGCATGATCCAAAATCCATCCAAAGAAGCTCAGAGAGCAGTAATTAAGTTTCTTCCATTTGAAGAATGTCTACTAGCAGCCATTCTACTAGTGGACATTCATTGAAGAATGTAGGCACTGTACCCTAACAAATTGTGTCCATTGACAACTGTGACAGACTGGGAAACATTGTTTAGGAAAGGACACCACAACAGATCTTCCATGGCTGGGTCAGATGCATGTTATTGCAGCAGAGTAAAACCATCACCAACATTGATGCAGCAATACAGGTGAACCGTTGTCAATGCATGTTTCAGTTGGGACATTTGAAAATGTTGTTTGTAAGAAACTGCAGTATTGGGCGTGTTCACAGGGATACCAGAGAATGTTGACCGATCACCATAACAAGGAACACAGTAAACACATGGTTAAACTAGCAACCACTGCCTTTTTACCTTTATTGCAGACGTCATTCACCACCTAGCTAAGCAATGGGATGCTTGCCTGCAGTGACTTTTTCGACCCAACCCATGATACATAAAAATTCATTCACAATAAATGTTCTGTTTAATTCTGCCACACCTGTTATTTCTTGCTTTTGCAATAAAGGTAGGTAGGTAGTTGTACCTTACCAGGACATCACACAAGTGATAAACACCCGGTGACACAAAGTGCCACCATGCGGATCACCCGTGGAGAAGTCCCAGAAACCCCTTTCAGCCATTAGGTCATATCAATGGCTAGCCTATATTTATGGCCCAGCTATATTCAGGGCCCCCGGCAGTAGCCAGGGTGGGGCTTCAAATAACCAAAAAAATTGCATCCCACATGGGGACGACTTATTCAATAAAGCCATTGGAGCAGTTTTCAAATGAACACTTCTTATATAATTATCTGTCATGAGATTACCTCTAACAATAGTGAATTTATGTTTGCTTATATCTACAGAGTTAACAGAGCTGGATACTCTGAGTGAGCATCTGAGAGATGATGTGTCTAGACTAGGAGAAAACATTCAGCTTGATCCAGTCGTTAATGGAGTTTACACAAGCCAATTTATGGGTACCTGGTACCGGTGTGTTGTTGAGGAGGTATATTTATTCTCTGTTGTGCAAGTCCATATTATACATTGCTTGGTACCAGAAGAGTTGAATCGGTGTATTGTAAATGTGGTATATGGTGCAGATCATCATCATTGCACTGTATCACGTTGGTTAGGCACGTGCTTGCCAGCCCAAATATATTGGGTTTTAATCTGCGCCGGGTGGATTAAAAAAGTTGACATCAGTTACTATGTTGACCTAGCTAAAATGAACACCAGAAAATGTCATGTAAAGTAACACCTATCATGATGTTGACCACATCAATCATGGAGTGCTGACTAGTCTATTAAAAATCTATGTCTTGAATAATATGTCAGATGTGTTTTTAGCATGAAAATTGCTTTCACATTAGATCTTTTTCATGTGTAGTGCCTGGGTTGGTAGTTCTTATGGCTGAATTCTAATGAGATGACTAAACCATTTGGTTTTCTGTTTCTCTGTGAATTTGGCACATTGTGAAACAGATAAAGTGAACTTTCAATCAAGTTGCAAATGGCACCATTAGTAGTATAAGTATTAATTGTTAGCTTATGATAAAGGGGGCAGCATGTGTGGGTGTATCCTAAATGCTGTGATGCCAGTTCGTGATTCATTTATTAATTATATTTCCTGGTCTATATATATAGTAAACTCACCTACAGTTTTTTTAGAGAAGATGTTGATCATCAAGTTTGCCCCCTTTCTGTGCAGGTGAGAAATACACATGTGCTGATCAGGTACATTGATTATGGCAACAGTGAGGAGATCCTTGCAAGTCAGCTCCGACCATTGTGTCCTGAGAGACTCAAGTTACCAGTCAGGCTCCAGAGATGCAGACTGAATGGTATATGATATTTGGTGTCTTGTCTTGTCCATAATTGCCTCACAGCGTAGTGGGAAGTCGCAGTTTTCTATCCTGGGCCAGGTGTGTTGCACGTGTTGTTGTTAGTCCGTGTTGCCTCAGGATCTCTGATATATTGTCTATCCATCGAACTCTCAGTCTGCCTCTTGCTCTAGGGCAGTAGTGCTGTTCGTTGTATGCTCGTAGAGGCAGTTGGTCGGTTTGCATTCACATCAAGTGGCCAAACCACTCTATTTGTTGCTTCTTTATGTATTGCAGGCATGGTGTGGTTCCTACAATTGCTCTAATGTTCTCGTTTCGAACTCTGTGATATTTGGTGGCTTTTATAAAACCCATATTTTTAGTTCAAGTACTGCGGACACAAATAAATGTTTTCTTGCCTGGTATATTTTGCTGTATCTGGTCAGGTGCTCTACTACTGTTTACATCAACAGATAATTAAGCATAAAACGTGAATGATTTCCACTGAAATACACAAGCCACATTGACTGTTGAATTAGGCATCGACATCACAGTGCTCGGGAGTTGCCGTGGCCGAGCGGCTAGGCGCTCGCCGCAGATAGGAAGGTCGTGGGTTGGCTCACTGGAGGAGCTGGACTATTTTCAAAAATTATTTTGTCTCCCAGGTCGACCCAGCCTTGAGTGGGTACCGGGTGCAGTCCCGGGAAGTAAAGGCGGCGGGCGTGATACTGACCACATCACCCATCTTGTGCCGATTGGTCTATAAAAATATAGGTCTAGCCCTATATGCCCTAAAGGCGTGGAAAAGGGTCCTTTACTTTTTGTGTGGGCTCGGGATGTTCCCATAAGCACTCCATCCTCACCTTCAGCAGCAAGTGCAGAGTTTCAGTCCCAATGGCACCCGTAACAGTCTGGCACCAGTAACAGTCTGTATATCTGTCTCGCCTTTTCCTTGAGTGTTGAGGCAGATCTCCTGCTCTTTCCTTGCTGCACCTTTCTCCTCTGACCATATCTGTGCCTTAACACTGTTTTCTTGTTCCCAAAGGACCCTTACAATGGCTAGCTTGTTATGCATCAGTTCACTGCCAAGTGGTGCAGAGCTAGCCAGTCTGTCTGCATGACCTGAAAAAAAGTTCCAAAGGACACTTAACTACCCGGTACCTTTGAACTGATGCTTGCCACTCTGCACTGAGCAAATCCCCCTTCCCCTCACTTTTCTCAACATATGCTGTGTCCATTACAATTATGATGTGTGTACAGCTAGTTCTCAAGCCAGCGGAAAGCTGCAATGACTGCCTCCATCTCCATTCTCAAACTAGATATTATGGTATCGTATGCCAGGCTTTGTTGCATGAGCCGACATGCTTTTGCTATGAACCCCATGCATTTTATCAGCCTCTTAGCACAGAGCCATCTATGTAGATAATCACATCACCTGGGCGGGAACTGTCTTGAATTATTTGATTGGTTTTAAACAGTGCATCTCATCGACAGAAGTTTAAGATTAACCTGTAATCACCATTGAGATTTATAACTGCTTTTATGCTGAAAGTATATCTGTGCCAGCAGAAAGAACAATTTCATAATGATTTAAATAATCTTACCATTACTACCATTGGTTGATTAAGTGCATGCATGATATATACATTTGTTCTGTGAAGATGATTGCCACAATGCAAATATGGCTCTTAGCCAGATATGTTTGACTGCAGAACAGCAACTGTTTTACTGCGACCGCCTTCCCACAATCTCATACATACTATGTTTTTTTGTGTGTATATATTATAATATCCTTTACTTGTTCTGTTATGGATATAATTTATGTTATGGATTTCTTATGAAACTGAAATTGTTGCTAGTTTTTGGTTTACATTTGTCTTTTTTAGCTGCCAAGAACCTTTAGTTATCATATAGGTTCTCCTGATTTTTGTCTTTATGGTACAGAGGATAAAGTCTTGCATGTACACTAACAGCATATACTGATTACATTGCAAATTCTCGCACTTACAGTGTACATTTCTTGTTCCCACATAGTAATACTTTCATTGACAGCAATAAATATTTATATAACTTATATACTTTTACTAACACAATAATTCTTGCACTGAGAGTTTACACAGTTCACGCAGTAATTCTTGCACTGTCACTAATAGTATACAGTGTTTGCATAGTGATTCTTGCACATACACTGACAGCATAGTTATTAGATTGTAAATTTTTCACTTACAGCATAGAGTGGTTACATAGTAATTCTTGCACTTACACTGACAGCATAGAATGGTTACATAGTAATTCATGTGCTTACACTCATAGTATAAAATGGGTACATAGTAATTATTGCACTCACACTAACAGCATAGAGCGGTTACATAGTAACTCATGTACTTACACTAACATCATAGACTGATTACATAGTAATTTAAGCACTTAACTAACAGCATAGAGTGATTACATAGTAATTTATGTACTTACACTAACAACATAGAGTGGTTACATAGTAACTCATGTACTTACACTAACAGAGTAGAGTAGTTACATAGTAATTCATGCACTTACACTAACATTATACTCTCTCCATACTTCCAGGTGTAATTCCTGTACATGAAAACTGGAGTAACCCAGACATGCCAGCCTACCTGGCAATCTTACGCCAGAATAAGGTTGACCTGGTAATTGAGAGCAGAGACGCCGATGTCTTCCATGTTTCTCTCTTCATTTTGCAAGACGGTGAAAAGATCAATGTGGCAGCAGATTTAGTCAACATAGGCCTGGCCAAGTTTTTACAGGTAACTTTAGTTACAGGCAGCTGCTATTAGGACACACTTATGTGGTGTACAGTTTTGGAACTGCAGAGCTTCTTCTTCTGAGTTCACACTCAGAAGGGCAGCTAGCAGGTTGTTTTGTATGTGTGTGTGGTTTACAGCTAGGCAGAGACATTTGCACCTTTCAGCCTAGCGTGTTCAGTTTCAGCGAACCCTCAATTAGTTGCCTTTTACAGAATGCCTGTTAAGGGGCAGTGGATGTGTTATACACTCCCCACGCACCAATTCCTCCTGCTCCAAAATACAAATAGGATCCTCAGAACCCCTATAGGTTGAGATTTCAGAAATGTATCACTAAAGTCGGCGTGATTGACCACATCCCCCTCTTTGTGCCGATTGGTCTATAATATTAAGGTCTAGCCCTATATGCCTTATATGCCTAAAGATGTGGAAAAGGGTCCTTTACTGTTTTTAACCACTCAAATGTTTTTAAATAACTGTTTTTTGTGTGTTTAATCATCAGTTATTCTTGGGGGAAATGCATTAAAAAACAAATGCCTGAAAAAAACAAACTGACAAATAAATGGGATGAATTTGATTTTTTTAAAAGTGAAATAAGAAAATTATGTGGATGGCCACATTTTTCAACAGCTATAAGACAGAGAAGATGGCAGTATATTGGACGCATCCTTAGAGAAGCGAGCATGGAGTCACAAAAACTGGCACTGAAATGGGAAACAATTGTATTAAGGAAATAAGAGAAACCCTAAAATGAAGTTGATGACAGGCTAAATCAGTTGGTCTTCATTCTGTCCAGTATAGCGAAACTATTGCATTGGTTATGGTGGAAGGAATAGACTGAACCCTGTATGATCGTAAAATAGCACAACGGAATAATCATGATTCTTGCGATGGGCCTAGCAAGTTAGCAGTGGTGTAATTAATCACTACCACACACAGAAAAAGCAAAAGGGGAATACTCCTGATGGGTGATGTGGTCAAAATTACGCCAGCCGCCTTTACTTCTTGTGACACTACTTGGTACCTATGTTATGCTGAGAGCCAAGATCAGTTTAGGGGGGAGGGGCGGGGGGAGATTCTGCTCGCTGCAGACTGAACCCAAGACTTTTCAGGCAAGCAGGTGAGGATCTAACCCAGGGCTGTTCATCCAAGTTTACCCTGGGGCCACTGTGAAAATGAGGATTATCATAGGCCAGGGTTGAAAGATCATGAATACAGCACACCTGGCAATGATCTTTGGGCCATTTACTAGGTCTCTGTGGTCCACCAGTTGAATAGCCTTGATCTGGCCACAATGTTGCGCTGGCTGCCGGTATCAAGAGTGACTGAGTTATGTATACAATGCAACTTTAAAACTCAGAGATATGAAAAATACCGATAACACACAAAATATCTTGACCAGTATTTGTCAGGTAATAAAACACCAAGAGTTCTCACCCACAGAAATATTTTGAGACAGGCTTTTTTCTTCTATATTCATCATTAAAAGGTTTGTTACGTTAAGTTATGGCTTACAGCTAGGCTTCAGTATCCTACCCATACATTTCTTGGTTATTAGAAAGATTATATGTGATGTTTATGATGTCTTCTTATTATACACAGATGTTATATCAACCCTTATGTTTCTGTGTGGTTTCCGGGGCCCCATTTTGGGGGAAAATGAATTGACCCCCTGCGGCCCTAAAAAGCATGTCATAAAAGCCGACTAATTGGGGGTGATTCCTTTGAAGTCAGAGTGCATCTGCCTTAAAGGCAAGAAACCAGCGGTCTGCATAGAAATAAGCCAAATCTGTCAAACAGATGTACATTCAAAACTCAAGTTGGAACAAGACAAGTGCAGAAGTAGACGAACAACCAGAACTTTCGGCCAGAGTTTACAGCCAGTGAACACAAAGATGAAGAAGACAATTGTTTGGGACTGAAGGAGGTAATCTGTACCAGGCTGCGACTGCTCCTTGACCCTCACGCTTTTATCTGATAGTGTTCACTCGGTGTACACTGTTCTGGCTTGCCAGTGTGATTTGTCATTTCCTGACCAGTTTGTTCTTCATTTTAATAGGGCATGAGTGAGCATCTAACCGTGAATGCTGTATTAAAGTGGAGAAACATTGACAGTAATGTTGCTGTGATTTCTGTTTGAAAGAATTGTTGAAATGTTTTAGGTTGTGTCACCACAAAAAGATGAGAGCAAGTCCTTGACGTCAGGCCCACAGAAACCTGAACAGTCAGCCAACGAACAAGATGAAGAAGGTGATGATGCTGAAAACATTGATGAGCTGCGCAGACAGTTTGAGGAATTGCAACTGAAGCTGAAGATGGCAGAAGAAAAGAAGAAGAAAAAGTAGTCCTTCTGTGTCACTCCATAAGCAAAATTTGTTCACAATTAAACTTATAATGACATTAAAAAAATTAATTTTTAGTTAGTTTTTCTTTCTTTATTGGCTGCCCTAATAATTCATTTGATAACTACTTCTACTAGTCTATGCCAGTGGCATTAGTAGAGTATCTTTTCTTTTCTATTCCCCTCCAGCTTTCTTAGTGTCATGACATTCCAGTTATCCCTTCTCTTGAAGTATTAACCTTTTTGCTGCTATGGATTTGTTTAGTCGTATGCCCATAGACTGCTACAAAAGTCTTTAATCGTCTTCTAGTTTCTGTGCCCTTGCTGCTGAGAGTGAGAAAACACATTTAGGGCTTTCCTTACAGACTGCTGTGGACCATTATTTTTGAGGGGGAAATAGCAGTCCAAATTAGTCATATTCGGAGACAAGTGACTGATTTATGTAGGATTAAACACCGTGTCAGGTGTTATCACCTGTGTTTAGATTAGCTGGACAGGTAATCACGCTAGCTTGTTGCTTTGTTACCCTTAGATGTGTGATGGTGATGGGTTATTTTTGTACCCTGAAGTTTGTGTTTTTGCATCCTTGTCTACATTTTTTGTTTTTTTTAATGACAAGAAGATCTTTTATAGTTGATGAAGAATTAATGGAGTTTCTTTCAAGGAGTGATAGTGAGGATGACATTAAAATGTGTGAGTTATGAGTTGGGTTATCTTGCTAGCGCTCTGTACATGTTTATCTGTGGCAGTGGGCAAGATGATCTGACCCAGGCATCATCATCCAAGGGATTTGAAATGGGTCCCTCAGTGATCAACAAGAGGATACTGTATAAGGCCACGTACAGTCATGATGATTCAAATTAAGGCACACCTCCCAATAACGGGCGTAAATTATGAAGGTTAAAAACACAGGGTCTCACTGATATTTAAAAGTAGGATGTATTTCTGGCGAAGTCAGTGTCGTTCAGAAATAATAGTGTGGCAGGCAGACCATCAGCTCTGACGCAGATCAGCAGTACTGTTCTACCGATTCAAGGACTGACAGCTGTAGATGTTAGACCTGTCGATTTATATATGTATTGTTGTTGTTATCGATCCAGCGGCGCATGAGCTTTCGCCCTTTGGCCCAATGCCATGTAGTGGAATTTGCATGTTTTCACAAGCTGTTCTTTTCCTCCGTACAAGGTGTTCCACTTGTCTGGTCTCGGAGGGAGTAACGTTCTTCTTGTCTCACTGAGTTTTGGGCACTCAAAGAGATGGTGTTCAACAGTTTCGTAGGGGTAGTTACATAGCTGGCACTCTGGGGAGTGTTGTGGCTGTATTCTGTTTAGGTGTCCATTGAGTGGAGTATGTTGCGTTCTAAGTCTGAAGATGGTGGCCTGGTCCCTTCTTGTTGGATGGTTAATGCTGTCATTAGGATCAGGGCCAGACATATGTCTATAAACCTCTCTTCCAGTGTCTCCCATGTATATATGTATGTGTGTGTAAATATATATATAAATAAATAAATATAAATAAATTAGGGTTAGCCGTAACCCTAACAGTTAAAGGGTTTTGGATGCAACTCAATGGAAGCAACTATTGAGGCCCTGTTAGGGTATGTTTTTAACCTTTATAATTTATGCCCATTATTCGGAAGAGTGCCCCAATTAATCATCTTTTATGCTATACAACAGGCAACACATTTGTCTGTCTGTCACATTGTACAGTACTCTCCTTTTTTTCAGTGGATCTTATTATGTGGTTTCCTAGTGTAGTGGTTAGTTATAATATTCACCTTACATACGGAAAGTCATGCGTCCAAACCCCAGCAGAAACTTAATAATAATAATATATTGTTTTATTGTAAATTTTCAGTTCTTAGCACTTTTGGCAGTGCATGACCCAGGTATTTAAAAAAAAAAAAAAATAATAACAATAACATGATAACAATTAATTATGACTGAAGTGAAAATCGCAGTAGACTATCCTCCTGTAAGGAATGTAAAGGGGGGGGGGGGGAGTATTCAGAGTGTTCCTTCTGACGATCAGAAGGTTACTGTTATGGTGCTCGCTCTTCCCTGGAGTTTATACTACTATACAACATTGCTGGAGATAATGAGGATAGTTTTTTTCATTATCTCTAGCGAAGCCAGGCAATTAAATCTAGTTTCTGGAATTTCCTTTCTGTAAAAGCAAGTTTTCTTGGTGTTGCCATGGTGCTTCTGACTTATCAGCGCATGAGCAATCCACCCACTTCGCTGGGGGGCCTAGGGTGAGTTTTTTAGGTGTACAAAATGTAGCCAGCACTGCCAAAAAAACAACTGCGTTTTGCGGTGTAGGCAGGGGGTTCTTTGAGCCTGAGGATTTACGGCCTCATGTCTAGTGCTGTTGCTACCTCTGTGCAGGGGAAGATTTTATTGTCCCTAACAGAAAAAATCCCCAGCCTTACCGAGGATTTGAACCCATGTCTCCGGCTTGAGATTTCAGCATTCCAATCATTCAGTAAATCACTCCTCGTAGCCAGCACTGCTGACACATTTTTTGTGTTTGAGGATAGAAAAGTATTCAGCACTGGAGAAAGGGTCAGTGTTGACCTTGCTTAGCACAGTGGTACTTGACAGCTGTGGGGTATGTAGCAGCAAAGGAGTTAACAACTGCAACAGTACAGTGGTTGACTTTTACAGAGACCAATGTTTTCACTTTCTTGTAGCAAGGTAAAAGATGCATGGCAGGATTTTACATAATAAAGAATATTTTATGCAATTTTTTTTTTTTTTTGTCAATTGGGATGAGAGAATGAATTCTTAAAAGCTTTTAAAAGAAACCCATCCTGATATAAGGAAGTGAATCATGGTCAGTTGGTAAATTATTGAAATTTTTTTTGGGAAGCTGTAGGGTTGTGATTTTATAGAGGAATTATGAAAATACCCTGAACATAAAAATAAAAAAATAAAGAAAAAGCTATCAAGCCCTGTCAATTCAGTACTTGAGATTTAAGGTCTAGCAGAGCACTTTCACTTCAGTACTTGAGATTTAAGGTCTAGCAGAGCACTTTCACTTCAGTACTTGAGATTTAAGGTCTAGCAGAGCACTTTCACTTCAGTACTTGAGATTTAAGGTCTAGCAGAGCACTTTCACTTCAGTACTTGAGATTTAAAAACTCAAAAGGTTAGCTTAAATAGGTAGCCACAGGTTGAGTACGTCGTCTTAAACCTTGTAGATGTGGAAAACAAGGGAAAAATCTACACAGTTATGTACCCCAAGAAACTCATGGCAAACTGAAACAATTTGACCATGTTAAGTAACATCAGGACTTTTTCTGCCTAGCGATATGCAGTACAGCCATCTGTTTTTTGAAGTATCAACACACACACACCCCCCCCCCCCCCCCCCCCCCCAAGCACTATTGTATTCACTTTGTGGTGAGTACTAGCTACTTTTTTTTCTAGGGGGTCAAGAGCCATGAACGTCATGATGGTTTGGAGAGAACAGTAATGAGGGTAGAAGAAGAGGTAGGGGTCAACCACTGAGATGGTGGACAAGAATGTCAAGTTCACAAAGCAAGAATTTTGGCAGGGAACCAATTGGATTTTTAGCTGTTGTGATGAGAGCAATGTTCTGTATAGATTATGATGAAAGCATTTAGGTTTGACTAAAGCACTGCTAATGGCATGCTTCATTTTAATGTTTCACTGAGCCATCAGTGTCACACAGAGCATGTTTCCTGCAGATTAGGCTCATGAAAGATGGTGCTAAGAAGTTCATACTATTTGATTTAGACTACTTGTACAAATTGTAGTTTTATCAAATTGTTGATTTAGAGTACTTGTACAAATTGTAGTTTATCAAATTGCAAAGGAAATGTTTCCAGAGTGCTGTAAAGATAAGCCAACTTATAACATAAATTGCAAGCAAGTTTTTTGTGGCATTGCCAGAAAATTTAGGCCATAATTTTTGGAACTTTTTATGTTTTTTTTTTTTGGTTTGTTCAGGGGTGTTGAATGTTCTGTACCATTCACTTTGATCACAACCCCCAGTATCCTGAAGTTGATGTCATCCTCATATCATGTGAAATGTCATGTTGTAATGCCGCGACAGGAAGTTTTTTATTTTGATAATTCAGTGAAGACTTTATTAATTAGTGTTCTTGCATGACGTTATGTTTAAAAAGTTCTGTAATTTTGGATACAATTGCAGTTTGAATTGTAAACCTTCGTTACATGTGAAATGTCATATTGTAATGTGTGTGTTTCTTCTCAGACACTCATCTTTCATCCCTTTTGCAATCAATTTCTCCTTCATTCTCACACCTATGTCATTTATGTCCCACATCTTTATATTGTAGTAGAGGCTGTCTGTCAACATCTTTTACCCTTCTGTAATTTATCACAGATGATGTTCTTAGGGACTTTAATATCCTCCATTCTCGAGGTGTGACCGAGCCATTGAGAAAACTTTTGTAATGCCTGCTGTTTCCAAAATCTCAGCCTTTGTGATCTTGCCTTGCCACTTAAATGCCAGGTATTCTTCTTAGGCATCACATTTTAAAGCTGTTGAGCTTTTCTCTTGGTGCTTATAACTGACCAAGTTTCACAGCCATAAGAAGAGCGCTGAGAACACAACCTGACAAAGAGTTTTTGTTCTAATCATGGGCTTCTCCAGTTGCTAGCTCAGTGGATATTATGGATATAACCTTCTGCTTATTACAACTCCATGTGTATAGCAGGTATGATAACCTACACATTGAAGACCATTGGAGTTTTTCCTACTTTATAGAAGCACTTCTTCTTCGATCCTTCTGTCAGAAAATGTAAATCGGGAAACCGGTAGCTATCGTGAAAGCTATCATGCAGTCCATATCTTCTCGTGTACCACACAGCTTTGTCTTCATTGTAGTTGGAACAGGCCAGATTGCGTCTCTGTTGTCAGCATACAGCTGACAGTGTTGAAGCACAGGCTCAGCATTTTCGGGTGCCATGCTGCAGTGACACGTCTCTGTGTTTCCTACACCGAAAGATTTGA